TAACTCTTGAGAATGCCACACGCTTTTTAAATTTTCATCGTATTTAGCTTTGTGTAAACAGGTATCTGGGCTGAGTGTGTGTCCATGCACCAAACGCGTGCCTGATGCCCACAGAAATCAGGAGAGGGTGTTGCGTCCCCTGAGATTGGAGTTACAGACGCTTGTGAGCTACAATGTGGGGACTGAACCTGGGCCCTCTGGAAGAGCAGCCAGTGCTCCTAACCACCGAGCCATCTCTCCACTGGCATTTTAAAGCCGCATCCCTGGCCATCAACCTGTGGACAGCCCTACAGATAATATTTTGCTCTTCACTTTGATTCCCTTCCTATATCCCCATCTGATTTCTGAAGACAGCCACATATCTGCTAGCAGCTGTGCCTAAGTCAGGGATTGGCAAAGGGTGGCCAGTGGCCTAACTGTAGCACGCTGCCACTTGAGTTTGCGTGGCCCATCATCCAAGAAAGTGTTTGAAATTTTTCAGCAGATGAAAAACTCAAAAGCATTATTGAGGCAGTACAGATTTCCTGTTTTGCTTTCCGTAAACACGTGTTTATTTGCATGCATCGTCACGTAGTGTGCCTAGTGGCTTTTGAGCAGTGTAGGCCTGGCGGCAGAGGCTCTGTGGTTAGGAAAGCTTACAGCAGTCACTATGTGGCCCTTTGCAGGACAAGTTTCTCGGCCTGTGTGTAAGTCATTGTCCACACCACAGTGTCTGCTAGTGACCACCAGGAATTACTGACATAAGCAGCCAGCCGTGGTTCCATGTTCTCTGTTGTCACCTTTTCTAGGGGGAAAGAAAAGTTCCGTCTGGCTGTGCTGATGGTGATAATAAGTTGTAGGTAACACAACCATTCTGGTTGGGTGTCGTGTGCAGCTGATAGGCGGCTGTTCTCTGGCCCCGAGCAGAGGCAGGAAACGTAAGGTGGCCTTGCTTTGTCACCGTCTCCCTACTTGACGTCTGTGATGTCACCTGAAGAGGAGGGCGACAAGTTCCACTCTGTCACCAGCAAAGCATGTCCGTATCCATCTTTTCCGTAAGGCTGGGTTCCCATCTGGGCGCAGTATGGGAATGCATGTTTAACTTGGTAATTTTAGCAAGGTTGCATATTAAATCAATCTGGTTTGGGGAGGGGCCAGGAGATGCATGCTAAGAACAGATGTAAGTCTCTTTTGCCTCCCCTCCCCCATCTCCTGAATGGTTCATAACCAGCAAATAAGAAAGGCTGTGGCTGGGCGTGGGTGGCGCACACCTTTATTTGCAGCTCTCAGGAGGCAGAGGCAGGCGGATCACTGTGAGTTCGAGGCCAGCCTGGTCTACAAAGAGAGTTCCAGGACAGCCAGGGCTGTTATAGAGAAAACCTGTCGCAAAACAAACAGTCAAATAGTAAAAAAGAAGGCAAGGTAAAGAAAGGCCGCGAAAGCTTCCATTAGCTGGGGAAGGGGTGTCACGGGGTCATCATTTCCGAGCTTGGGAGTCAGCGTTTGCCGGTCACCTTGTGGGCTTCAATTCTCACATTTCCCAAGCACAGCTGCCTTCTCCAGGCACTGAGTCAAGTCATGAGGTTGGTGACTTTCAGCTGGGACTTTGGTCTAGGGACACTCACCCGTGGCTTTCACGGCACACGTGGGTCAGTGTACAGTTTTATAATCTGAACCACACGTGTTTAGGGAACACACGCGGTTCCTTTTACCTGAGAGATGCTGGGGAGGACCAGAGTTCTAAGCGTGAGACTCCTGGGCCTGCCCTGTCTCCCTTCAGCTGCCAGCTTTGGTGGTAATATCGTGGAGACAGGAAGCTTCTGGTCCTCGGGGGTGGGGCTCTGAATACCCACAACTCATCCTCCACGTCACCCAGACATTAGTGAGTTACCCCACCAGCCACCAGGTCCAGGAAGGACATTTGTGCCTCTCAGAAGCTAACTGAGAAAACACACTGGAACCCTCATCAACTCTGCCCCTTTGAAGCTGACCCTTTAACTTCACATCTGGAATTTTCGGTCATGAAATGAAAACGTAGCAAGAAGGAAAGGCTCGCGTACAATAATGTTCATTGCTGCAATAGAGCAGGAGCCGGAAATAACGTAACTCCAGGTACACTCGTGGGAATGGGAGATCATATCCTCTTGATGAAATACGATAGGTGACTAAAGATGGCATTCACTCGTAGAACACTATGCCACAAAGGGTGGAAGACATGGGAGACTCTCGTTAAAGTGAAGCCAGCAACACAAGCAGTGCCCACTCTGATGTAGACACCGCTGGCACAGAAAACACATACTCAGGGTTTGCGGCCCGGTGGGGGAGAGGAAGGCAGGAGGTTATTTAGGGAGCAGGGTGTCTGCCTTGGAGTTGACCCAACATGGGCGCTGTGGCAGGGCAAACCAGCATAGTTACCGCAGGAGCAGCGACAAGATAGCGTCCCTGGCAAAGAGATGGGCTTGAGGACTGAGTCATTGCATGTGAGGTGTAAAGCAGGGTCAGGGTACAGGGTTAGGAGCAGGGGTGCGCTGGAAAACTCACTGCGTTAGGGCGGTGGGAACAAAGCTTGGGGAAGGTGTGTGAATGACAGCAAAAAAAAATTGTACTTGGACTTCAAGGTGAAGATTGATATTTTCTGTGTGTGTGTGCGCGTGCGTGTGTGTATGTGCGCGCATGTCCGTGACATATGTGTGTATGTAGATGGGGCTTATATGCACACGTGTGTGGAGCTCAGAAGTGGTCACTGAGTGTTTTCCTCGGTCACCGCTGCAGGAACTCTCACCAGTTATGGAGCTCACCCATTCAGTTCCCTTGGCTGCCAGTCGGTCCCAGCAAACCTTCCTGTCCCCAGGTCCTCGGAGCTAGGACTGAAGAGTGCACGCCACGCCCAACTTTTTATGTGGTTCCTGGGGTGCTTCTCACTCTTGTACAGGAAGCTTTTGACTGACCTAGTCATCTCCCCAGCTTTCCTAACATTTCCTTAAAGACGACCGTGACCACACCAGGGAGCAGACGCAGGGAGAGGGGAGGGTGGCCTCTGCGGAGCCAGTTTTGGAATGGGGCTTGCCTCGAAACAGACAGGAGAGACAGTGGGCGGAGCAGGGCAGGAGAAAAGCATCTTCCCTCTGCATTCAGATTAGCATTTAAATGGCTAGTTGGGGGGTTTTCAATGTTAGAATAACCCAGCGCTATAAAGATTTTTTTAATTTTAGAACTCTTCTCATTACATAGCAAAAAAAAATAGTTTCAAGTCTTAATTGCCTTGCAAAGATTATAGACGTCTTCAGGACAGATAAATCCCGGGTTGTCCCGGGATGAACGCCTACCATGGAAATACCACACATACTGTTTTAAAATTGTGCGGAATTCAAAAGAAAAAAACGTGAACGGTTTTCTAGGGAGGGAAAATGCACAGGCGTAGTTCAGAAGTCCATGAAAAAGGGAGAAGGACAAAGGAGCATTTGGTTTGATGACAGATCTCCTTCTGCTGCCATGAGCTTTGTGAGATCTAGGGGCTTCAAGGAGGATCCCCAAGCCTGGCAAGGAGAGCAAAATCAACTGATTTCATGGATCCTATTTTCATAGGTAGACCAGTGCTTTATCATGGAAGTGCTTTCTGCCCCCCTGAGATGTACCAATCTTCTACACAAAGTTGCCAGGGCAATATTAAGTTTTACCACGGCAACGAGTTGGCCCTGTTACCCTGCGTTGAGTTCTGTCCCATTTGTCACAGCAAATGATGACGATCCCATCTGCCAGGCATATGGGATTGGTGGTGCTCAGCAAATCTTTGTCCCAGCCTGGTTCCAGAGAAGATTTCGAATTGTCTTGTAAGCCCTCTTTCCTCTCTTGGCCCTCCCCGCACTGGCTACTGTGGCAGCTGTGGAATCGGCCTACCTAATTACTGACGTCTGCCTTCGGTCGGCAGCTATGCTGTGAGCCTCTGGGGTTGGGAACAGAGTCACGTTTGTCTTGGCACTCCGGTCCCCTGGCCTTCAGCAGGAGATCGGAGCACCCACCTCATACAGCGCCATCATCTCTGGCTTGCGCCAGAGGCCTCACCTGTCACCCCTAACAGATCTGTGTGTGCAGCCGCCAAAGTTCAGATGAGATGGACAGAGAAGGGAGATTTTGTGCTACTCTTGTTGACCTGGCAACCGGAGCCCATTAGACTTTATAGTTTGGAGTGTTGCTTCCTTTGAGTGATGCTTTGACATTAGTCCAACTACATTTTAAATGAATAGAAACCACCCACTGTGTGTGCTCATGCTCTCTCCTCTGCTTTGAGGTGGGTCTGTTCCTGAACCTGGGGCTTTTTTTTCCATCCAGGCTTCTCAGTGGGTGCTGGGGATCAGAACTTAGGTCCTCACCCTTGAGCAGGGATTCCTCTTCCCACTGGAGCGTCTCACCAGCCCCATGGTTAACACACTGAGTGAGCTCTTAAGGTTAGTTAGCTGTGGCTTTCTGCAGGTAATAGTCATCTCATAAATAGGCTGTGGCGAGTTTCCAACATGTAGCTAAAGCGGTAGCAATCTATGGTCTTCCATTTAAACGTAGAGTTAAGAGTCAAAAGCCATGGGGATCTGGCTGGAGCAGCCCAGACGTTTGATTGGCAGGATTATGGAAGAAAGTCCTGATTCTCAGTTGCTGGTGTTCAGGACACCTGTGAGAGCCTCGCTGAATACAGAACTATTGGAAGCTTGGATAGTCAAAGACAGTTGTATTTTCAAACTCCTTGTTGACTCCTCTGTAGGTTTTGGGATGCTTTGGGCATTGTTCTTTGTATCCATGCCTCACCAGTTTGATAAGAAGGTCCAGCATTGTCCCCTGTGGAAGGGAGGTCAGGGACAGACCTGCCACTGAGAGCCAGAGTCAAGAAAAAGACCTCTCAGGCTCTTAGCTTGTTTAGCCTTGGATGCAAAAGCCACAGACATGGGGGGAATTATGCTGGATCAAGCTCCTCCAGAGAGAGCCCGTGCAGGCTGCTCCGTTATCCCATCATCTGCTTGGACCCTTTTCAGGTCAGCCGTAACTTCGAGCTGGTTGGACGGGTTAACTTGGATCAGCTGGAACAGATGAAGGAAAAGATGGAGAGTTCCAGCAGCGACGACGAGGACAAGGACGACGAAATGAGCAGCAAGGCTGAAGACAGAGGTTAGTCTCACCCTGCCCTCTGAGTCCCAGATGGCACCCAGAGACGTCCACGGCGAGACAGAAGGGAGGCAGGAGGCTGCTGTGAGAACAGAAGGAACGCTCCTTCTTGGTTGAGTAGCAGAACAGACTGCCTTCGGCACCGTCAGGGGCCCTGTCTTACAAACTATTACCAGCTATAGAAACTCCAAGGAAAACAGATATTTTCTTCCTAGCTATAGATATGCGTTTGCTAGTGGGGGGGTTTACTAGAAAGGAAACCTAGATCTGAGGAACCTTCCAAACGAAGATAGGCAGAGCGCAAGCTGAATGACACGGTAGGGCTGTCAAGGAACAGGAGTAAGCCTGGAATTGCACACTCCTTTAAAATGATTGCTAGTAGAGTCATAGTGAGAGGCTGCAATGAGCTTGAACTCTATACATGTCCCCCAGTGGCACCTTTCTCTTAATCCCTTGGGGCTCTGTTTCCACTCTGCCAAGAGGGAGAGACGGCATCCCTCATCCTTCCCTGTAGACGCAGAAAACACCAGCGAAGGTTTTGTGAAAGTTTTGAACTATTTTTCCACCCCCTGCCATTCTGGCATTATTCTAAGATAAAAAGACTCCAACATGTGTTTAGTTGCAGATGACACGTTTCTGAGATCTTAGAGTGTCATTCCTGTCTACTGGGGACGGAGGGCTGGAGAGAGGAGGGCTGGAGAGAGGAGGGCTGGAGAGAGGAGGGCTGGAGAGAGGAGGGCTGGAGAGAGGAGGGCTTAGCAGCTAAGAGTGCTCTCGAAAGAGCCTAAATTCAGCTCCCAGCACCCATTTCTGGCATCTCACAACCAGCTGTAACCCTGGCTCCGTCGGATCAGACTTGTGGCCTCTGTGGGTCCCTACATTCGCGTGCACACCACCCACACACATATCCGAAAGGAGAGGATGTAGGCTGCGATGTGTTCCTTCAGCTACTGCGGACTGAGCAAAAACGTTCACGTGTGGTTGCTGTAAATATGAGGAAAGAGCATTGTAGCTACCACGATTGCAGTGCTGGGAAGTCATCTTAGTGTCCACTACTGAGTGCTGTTTCTTTAGTCCCATGTCGCCTGAAGGGTTCTACAGTTACTCCACCAGATCTTGGCCCCCAGTCTTACTTTGTTTTTGTCTTTGTGAGATCACCAGCTGTCAAATAATAGTGACGGTGACGATGATAATACTAGTGTCTGTTTCCTGAGGTGGCCAATATACAGATTTGTTTTTAACTTAGAAAGTTCAGATTTTGAACTTTGGTATTTTCTTTGGTTTTAACTGACAAGTTAAAAAAAAGTATGTGTTTGTGGTGTCTTAGAATAGGTGTACATTTTGAATGGCTACATGGAGCTAGTTAACATAGTTTTCCCTCACATACTTGTCTTGAAGAGTAAGAGCTCAATCGACTAAGCAATTTCAAATTACAGTCACATCATTAATTATAGTCAACACACTATACAGTTGATGTCCTGAAATCATTCTTCTGTCTACCTGAAATGTGTCCCCAGCTCGCTACCCCTGAGCTTCGGCAATGTCCATTCCCCTCTCTGCATCGGTGAACGTGACTGAGGCGAAATCATTTTAGCATTTGCCATTGTACCTGGTTCATTTCCTGTACCATACTGTCCTCATCCATGTCGTCCCAAACGACGGGGCTTCCTATCTTAAAGTGAAACAGTGTAAACAGTGTACCGATGGGTTTGTGTGTCACCTTTTCTGCAGCCCTTCTTATACAAATGGCCACTGACGTGGATTCTGTGTCCGTGTGAACAGTGCAGGGGTTGCACACATCTCTTTGGTACACTCGCTTCATTTTCTTCTTGTGTCAAACTTCTTGTAGTGAGTTTGCTGAGGAACGTAACAGTATTCCGTAATGGCCACCTTAATTCATACTGCTATTTTGCTGCTGGTCTACAGTGTTGTTCTTTTCTTAGCTTCACCAATGCTTGTTATCTTTCCCTCTTTGGGTACTTGATGATCTAACTGCTGTGGCGCAGTACCTAAGGTTCAAATTTGCATCTCCCTCCCGTTGGTGATTCGGACTGCCTTTGTAAAGCTGATGTCTACACCTTCTGAGAAATGCTTGTACGGAGCCTTTGTTGATTTCTTCATTGGGGGAAGTGTTCACTGCTCAAGTATCAGCAGAGTTGTTTGAGTTCTGAATACACCCGGGATGTTGACCCTGTGACAACTGTGTGGTCTGCAGATGTCACCTTTCCTTCTGTGGATTGTCTTTTCGTTGTGATGTCTCCTTAGAGGTTCAGAAACTTTCCAGCTTGATTTTTTTTTTGCTTGTGCTTTGAGGGTCATGTAAAAAAGAAATATTGCAAAAATCATCGTCAGACCCATCTACAGGCCAGTGTCATCCAGCTTTCCCTGTGTTTCCTTCCAGCAGTGTTTACGGCTTTAGGACTTGCATTTCAGTCTCTTACTTATTTTGAGGTTTTCCTTCTTTCTTTCCCTCCTTCTTTCTTTCTTTCTTTCTTTCTTTTTAACTTGCTGGGAGATCAGTATCTAGTTTTTCACTTCTGCCTGGGATGCCCAATTGTCCCAGTAATTATTTACGGGACTATCTTTTCCTCAGTTGTGTGATTTACTTCTGGACTCTGTTCTGTTCCATTGATCCATTCATCTAATTTTAGGCTATTGTCATGCTGTTTTGATTACCTTAGTTTTGAAATATATTTTAAAGTCACAGAATATAGTGTCTTCCTTCTCTTCCTCCTCCTCCTCCTCCTCCTCCTTCTTCTTCTTCAAGACAGGGTTTTTTTTTTATAACTCTGGTTGTCTTGGAATTTGCTCTGTATGTAAACTAGGCTGGCCTTGAACTCACAGAGAGCAGCCTGTCTCTGCCTCCCAAGTGCTGGGATTAAAGGTGTGTACTACCACCACCTGGCTTCTTATCCTATTCACTCTAGATTATTTTGGTTCTTTAGGGTCTTTCCTAGTTACCCTGATATTATAAAGGTAAGTGAGGGTTAGAGATTTAACTCACTGATAGAGTATGTGCCTATCACGTGAGAGGTCTTGGATTACCACCCCACCACTGCCAGAGACACTAATTAAATGACATGACAGCCAAGGCATGGTCCTCTAAATAATAGTCTGACAAACTTAGGACCTATCGGTGTAGCTAAATTATAAGCCCAGTGGGAGTTGAGTCTCGGTCTTGTGGCTCTAGAGCAGGTCTCTTACACTGCACATTTCCAGCCCCTCTGAGTGATAGACAAAATGTTCTTTATTAAAAGAACCTAACCATGAAATCTGGGGGTGCATTGGTCCTGGGGCTAGATTAGACTCTAAGGGCCCTTGGCAGAATATCTAGCCGGCCTGAGCAGGTGTCTTCCGAAGGCCATTTTCTTCTGTGGTGGGCTTCTCACCCACACCCTTCCAATGTGACAACCAAGAGACCTAGTTTGGCCTTTGAATCTCCAGTCAACCAAGACGGCAGAGACTGACTGCAGAGCTGTGCTAGCTAGTCAAGCTGTTTGCCCATGGCCAGCCTGAAAGATATACAAACCAAAGTGCCTGTGGGTCATGCCATTTCTCCTAAGGGAAACGCATGTGATCTCAGAAGTGTGGCTTTTTCCTCTTCTTCTTTTTAAAAAAAAACTTTTCACAGTATGTTCTTCACAACAAATTCTCATCATCTCTGCACTGTTTTGAATGTCCTCAGGGGGGGTGGGGGGATGGGTGCTTCTAACTGAGGACACAAAGGCTCCTTTTTCTTCCTGGTACTCTGTGGCCTTGCTGTCCCTCCTCAGGAGATAAAGGATTCCTTATTGGGCATTATGACTTTTTCATGTCTAAGGCTGAGCACACGCTATTTTTGAGACCATCAGCATTCCAGAGTCTTCTGTTTCCCCAACAATGTCCCCGAAATAGATAAAACACCAGGCCATGAGGAAGTACGACCGGTGAGGTGTGTCGGGTAGCAAGCCCGTCTCCATGCCCGTCCAGCTTGGCCTCCCTTTACTTGCTGGGCTCTCAGCATAAGACCAGATGTATCTAGAGAGAACTGTGGGGCATCTGTTTCTCACTGGAAAGTGTTGTGTCTTCACTCATAAGACCTAACCCATATGAAGCAAAAGTCCTCCTGTAGACAGGTTGGTATGGGGACGGACCTGAGTGCCTTGGGAACTGCAAGCCAAAAAAGAAAAACGGTCCCTTCCCTGTGACCTATCCTTGCAAGAATGGCTTCCTCTGTCCCATCTCCTTTGAAACAATCTAGAATCAATCTCCACCATCTCAGTAGATTCTTGCCAAAGAGACAGGGCCAACAATAGCCTTGGGTGTTTTTGCCAGACATCCTGGCTTCTGGCAGGGGGCAGGAGGAGGTATTAGCTCAGCTCTCAAGCTGGGGGAGAGTGACTTGAGATGTGACAGGTAGAATGGCCTCTTCTTTGAGGCTGAGCTTAGCCTGTGCCCTTGGAGACAATAGGTGACTGGCTTCAGTCCCCTGAGGGCAAAGGAGGGAGCACTAAACAGCATTGTCCTTGTGGGTAATTTGGACTGTCTCATGGACGCCTTCGGCTGGGGGGTCTACAGCCTCCTGCAGCTCCTTTCCAAACAAGGCAACTGGGGAGCATACTCACACAGACACACAGCAGGATGGGCCTGGGAAGCTCAGGGGGAGCTGCAGAGAGAAGCCAGGCATGAAGAGATTGAAAGGAACCCTAGCAGACCGCTGCCCACCCCACCCCCTCTCATTATGCAACTGGGAGGAGTCAGGAAGGCATTCTGTTGATTTCTTGCCCAAGATAATCCCTGCTAAGGAATTAATGCGCAGAGCAGATGGTGCTGTCTCATTCCCAGTGAAAAGAATCAGGGAAGATAGTCTGTGCAATTATTTTTAATGGCTTGTATGGCGATCTTCTTAATTTGTGAGAAAATGTCTCCTCTTTTGTGGAAACTGGCCCTGTTCACACAGCTTTTTGTCAAGAGGACGAAGGCGTCACAGAGCCCCAGCCAGTGTCCTGATGATTTCATGAAATATAGGGCATTTCAACCAGGAGATGTCTTCCTGTGACATCTAGTCTGTGGGGCCAGGGTCGTGGATGAAGATGGCCAAATTTCCTTCAACTCTACCCTTTTTGCAGAATGGCTTACCGACGTGAAGACCTTTGACCCTCTGTGGGCTAATGAAAGGCATGTGGGCTTAGGTCTCAGGATAGCACAAAGGCCACAGAAGCCCTCATCTCTGAGCCTACCAGGAGGTGTGGCTTCAAAACAATTAGCTAGACAATCCACATTCATCAAACCCTAACATGTGCCAGTGGGACAGGAGTAAACAAAACATCGAGATCAGTATTTGATGTGTACGCCAGACCCAATCAGAAATGTCTGTGTGTCCCTGTGGTGAATACCACTGGTTGAGAAACAGATAGTGGGCAGGCAACCGGGTTCCATCACTGGCTGGGGACATGCTTTCAATAGTAATATTGCACGTGTTAATTTATTGCATGTGTGAGAAAGTAGCACCCTCGGAGGTCAGAGGACAGCGTGCGGGAGTTGCTGGCTTTCTTCTCCCATGGTGTGGGTTCTAGGGAGTAAACTGAGGTCATCAAGCCTGGTGGCGAGCGACGTTGATCCACTGAGCCGTCGTCTCACGGACACGGAGACACTCTTATATAGCCCCCACCCCGTTCACAGGAGGGGCCCTAACCACCCTAGGCTGCAGGCGTTGTGAAGCTTTAGACTCACTTGGGAGGAGTCAAAAGCCCTGTGGTCTACACTGTACAACCAGGGTTGGGTGTTCCCTGTGGTCTGTTGTCTTTCTAGTGAAACGACAAACCTGACTAGCTGCCAAGCTGTGGAGCCCTCACCCAGAGCATGCAGAAGGGATGGGTTAATCAGAAAGGAATGCTACGGGATCTTTGAGTAGGCCCAGGAGCCTTTCCTGGCGGGAGGGTTGTTAATGGCGGAAGCTGTTGCATGCCTTGTAGAGCCTTGGTGATTGGAACTCAGGACAGTTCCTGAGAGCTACTCAGAAAGTGTGCTTAGGAGAAACCCTGAGGCGGGGAGCCTGGGGAAGGCTTGCAAGGCGGCTTTCCCGTGAGTGCTGCCTCCCAGGCACACAGGTAACACCGGCCCTTCCTTTCTGCTTTTGCAGAACTGATATTTTCCGACCGAGGGACTGGGGTGAACGCCGAGAAGAGGTTTCCATGTGAATTCTGTGGACGGGCATTCTCTCAGGGCTCTGAGTGGGAGAGACACGTGTTGAGACACGGCATGTAAGTAAGGCCTTAAGGGGACGTTTGTCCCAAGTGACTGAGTGGGAGGGAGCTGAGAATTCCTCCAACACCCTGCAGGCCAGCCTGCCCGTGCCACCTTGCAGTGATGACGGAGGGCCCAGAGTCCTCCTGGGTTACTCTTTAAAATGGCCACCCTTGACAGAAGCCAAGGAGAAGGAAATCCCCTGGACTCAAGGGTATCGAGTCCCTTGTGGTTTGATTTACGTCACCTTCTCTGATACAGTGGGAGTCCGGGGCTGAGTGTCTGCTTCTGTGTCTGCTCGTTTGCATGGGTGGCCTGGATCATGCCCGTGGCTCACCTCAGAGACACAACTCCATTCCACCTGCCTCCCAAGCAAACAAGAGCCTTCCCGTCACCTTCTGACCACTCACTTCTTTGAACATAAAATCGTTCCCTCCCCAAGGAACCCTTAGTCCGCCAACCAGAGAGAACTATGTTGTGGGGTGTGTGTGTGTGTGTGTGTGTGTGTGTGTGTGTGTGTGAGTTGCCCACAGAGTGTCCAGACCTCTGAAAATATGATTAAATTTCTCAATATGTAGGTGCCGCCTGCAGGTTTTTAGGTTTTTGTTTGTCTGGATGACTCATTTTCAGTACTCATTTTGTCTTAATCAGTACCAAAATATTATATTAATTTGGAAACAAAACATGGTATAATGAAAGCACAGTGCAGCATTGGATATTTTTAGGGATCCAAATTGTTAGGAAAAAAAAGAGGTCTACATGGCATAGAAAACCACTGGAAATTTAGTCATACACACATAGAATTCCAATGTTATTTTAGGGTCAGGGAAGTAAGGGTGGATGAGTTGTTAGATTAGTTATAAAAGGCTTGTGAGGGGCCATGGAGGTGACTCAGCTAATAAAATGCTTGAGGATTTCAGTCCCATGCCCAGAATCTGGGTTAATAAAAGTAGGGCATGGCTGGGCATGGTGGCTCACGTCTTTAGTGCCATCACTCAGGCAAACAGATCTCTGCATTTGAGGCCAGCCTGGTCTACAAAGTAGGTTCCAGGACAGCCAGGACTGTTACACAGAGAAACCCTGTCTCCAAAAACAAACAAACAAGCAAACAGCTGGGCATGGTGGTGTGTGTGTGTGTTTGTCATGCCAGCTCTGTGGAGGCAGAGGCAGAAGGGTCCCTGGTGCCCGGGGAGTGACCCCCGAGCTTGCGCCTGTATGCATCCAGCCCCTGACCCCCGCTCTCTCTGCTTCCGTGCTGGAATTAGAGGTGTGCCACCACGTCTGGCTTACTGACGCTTTGCTGTTTGTTCTGCCTTTCCAGGGCGTTGCACGATACCAACCAAGTGAGCAGTGACGAAGTCCATCCCAAAGAGTTGGTAGAGGACGGGATGCAGCTGCCCTCCATAGAGGCGAAAGAGGATGACGAGCCAATCGGGTTGGACTTTTCCCTAAAGAGTGAGACCGTAGCCATCTGTGTCGTAGCTGCCGACAAATCTCTCCTGGAGACTGCAGAGGCCAAAAACGAGTAAAGGCTTGGTGAAATCCTTATCAAACCTTACTTGAACCGTGATGAAAACATGGGAGGGGTCCGGCGTGGGCTGAGAAGGGAGGGGACCGAGAAGAGAAGACAGAACAAAGCTGCTTTTAGGACCGAGCAATCTACTTTCAGGGCACTGGTACCTGTGTGAGTGAGTATGTAAATTAAAGTTATTTAAATGGTTGGAATATGTGGCTCCGTTCCCGTCACTCCATCCTTCCTTCCGGATCTCCACCCACGGAAGTCTTCATCTGCTGCGGTTTGGGAAGCGCGTTCCACCGGGCACAGCGGGCACTCTCCGGGACCCTCGGACAGTGGGGTGGCAACCCGAGCTCGGGGACCGCGGAAGACTTCTCCTAGGGGAGCAACATTCTGGGCGCACGACTTTCAGTGCGTTTTTCTAGTTTTAATACCTTAAGCTTTTTCAAGACCTAACTGCAGCCGCTTTGGGAGAAAAAAAAAATAACAGGACAGAAAACAAACAAAAAAAAAACTGCTTTGCATAAAACAGTCACCTGTTTCCTAGTACCTCAGACTTAACCAAGGGAAATCTCTGCATTTGTCTGTACTACCTGTCGCCCTTGTGGTTAAATGTAGAGAGAGCTGCTGGACAGGATGGTGAATGGAGGAAAAAAAAAGAGTTTTAAAGAAAGGAACACAAATTGTGCTTAAAATCCCCACGTGGGTTTTATTTCTTAAAATACTGTGATTTTTTTAATTATTTTAGTAAAAAACAAAACAAAAAAAAAAAGAAACAAGACTTTAATTACTAGATAACTGTGTGTGAATTGTCACCCTGTACCCCAGGTAAGCTGTTTATTAGTGTTCAGCTATAATTTAGAGTTCGGTAGGTTCGTGTGAACTAATTTTAAGGTGATTGTGGGGTTTCGTTGGCCACAAGTTTTATTTTCTCTCAATTTGAGTGTTACAAACACAGCACAAACTCCGTTGTCGTCCCCCCCAACCCCCATTAAGTTGTTCTTTGTGCATTTGTTGTTTTAATTTGAGGTCAAGGGAGAGTTAACAGGATTTGTGTGTGTGTGTGTGTGTGTGTGTGTGTGTGTGTGTGTGTGTGTGTGCGTGCACAAAGATTTTCGTAATTTCAAACACGGACATAACAAAGAGATTAACTTCCCTTTCTGTCGTTGTTTTGCTTTGCTTTTAATTTAACTAAAGAACCAAACCCCGGCACAGCTATGCAGGAGCGTGTGGTCCAGACAAAGAGGTCCTCTCTCACCCTTCCGTTTTTTCTCTCTCTCAAACAAACACGTCATCGCCTCACACCAGCAACTTCTGTTCCACTGGGCTGCCTTCCGTGTGTGATTTGAACTCTGTGTTTTGTTTGGGCATCGTGTATTGGGAGGCTTTCTCGCCTCTTTTGGGAGCCGTCCCTGTCGGGAGCGTGGGCATGAGATGGCGTGCCCTACAGGGAGCCTGGGAAATGCTATTTCTCTTTCCCTCCATCGGTTCTGTGTCTACACACACACACACACACACACACACACACACACACACACACTAGCTTTTTTCTGTTTTCCTTCTTTCGGAGAGAGAAGCTTAGACTAAACCGTAAGTCTACATTTATAGTATGTTCTCATTGTGAACAGGGGTTTTGTTCCAAAAAGTAGAGAAGCGTTTTCTTGAAGCTTAGGTTTTAGGTGAGTGAGTGAGTGTGTGTGTGTGTGTGTCTGTGTCTGTGTCTGTGTCTGTGTCTGTGTGTCTGTGTCTGTCTGTCTGTGTGTGTGTGTGATGAGTGTTTGTGGGCCAATGTAAGTCTTTTGGTTATCATGTGTCTTTTTGTTTTGTTTTTGTTGTTGGATTTTTTGTTTGTTGGTTTTTTTTAACTTGGAAGGGTTGATGGGCTGGGGGGAGGGCCAGGAGGGGTGACGGATGACTGAGGTGACAGTGTCCCACATAGCTTCAAATAAAATCCATGGAAAGATGTCCAATTTGTGAAGTAAGTACTTACTTGAAAAGCATGTTCTTGTTTTTGGGTTTTTTTTGTTTTTGTTTTTTTAACTATTAAGAATTTTTATTTGTAGGATGTTAATTTAATTTTTTTTTAGGGTTGGGGGGCCTTCATATGGAAAGCAGAAAAGGGGAAAGTGTGAACTATCTAGAAAGATTCCTTTGTGTCCTTATTTGTTTCTGATTGGCCTCATCTCAAGTGTACTAAACAGTTTCATACCTGGATTGAATATTTGTGACGGTTACCAAAACAGCAGACAAACAAAACAACGAAAGAAAGAAAAAGAAAAATAATTGTGACATGCTTTGATCGCTACCTTATTTTTCAAATATCATGTAAATATTGTAATCCATTGGATTTTGTTTTGCTAACCTGTTAATAAAAATATGGGACCATTATCCTTTTTAACAAAGATAGAATGTCATTTTTTTTCCTTTTTCAAACATATACCTGATATTTTGTGGCCGCACATTTTGGATGCATTCTGTTTCTGTTGACTGTAATGACATATAATTTACAACATTTTTTGTTGTTGTTTAATTTATACAGAGGACACTTTTTTTCAGAGCTTGAGAGAAGAAAATAAATAGCAAAATGATAACCTATTGACTCCAATAATCAGTGTTTCCTGAAACTTCATGAAAGACAGAGGGACCCTGACACACAAAAAAAATAATAATAAAAATAAAAACCACAAGTAGGTTATTCAAGTTGTTTGCAACATACATTTTGTAATGAAATGTGAGAAATTAATAAAGAATTTTTTTCACATGTGTCTATGTGCATCTGTTGCAAGTCATTTATGGGTGTGACTGCAGACAGGAAATCTGGCAGTGAGTGACAAAACCAGTTCTCAGTTTATGTACCGAATCCAAACGGATATGGAAAACAGGGGAGACCAGGGTGAGGTGTGAGCTGGAGTTTTAAAATGTCAGCAACCCTGCGTCAGAATGTGCGACACCAATGAAAATTTTGTGCAGGGAATGCTTGTTTTCTACTAAAACTGAGGGTCACTTGGTTGTAGTGGCTCACACCTGAAATCTCAGCTTTTGGGAAGCTGATGCAGGGGGATGACAGCAGCAATTCCCGAAACCCCTATGCACAACCCGCCCCCAAAAAAATAAAGTGTGGAGCCAAATGAAGCTTCAGGAGCAAATGCCAATACTGGACATCATCCAGGAGCTCGGAGGCCATGACAGTCACAGCCCCTGGAGGATCCTGACTGTCACCTTCATCTCTTCAGACCCTGCACTGCTTAAGCTACCCTGTTATAAGTCAAAGAGGGATCAGTCACACTAACACCCTGGGTGCCCTGCCCTTCCTTAAAGCTTTGCATGCCCTTAGCCGATCTGGAGCTAGGAAATGCGATGGTCAGGAGTCACAAGGCCATGTGTGACGGGGACAAAACCAGGTAAGTAGGGAAACCGAGGGATAGCAGTTGTGAGCTGACAAAAATAGTATTTGCGCAAGTACACAGACTCCAGCAGGTGCCTGGTCTGAGCTCTCTTGGTAGACAATACAAAAACAGGCACCAATCAGGAATACTTTTATTCAAGTTCTCAGGAGTCCTCGGGGTTTTGTAGGACTTGGCATTAAATTTCCTGTTCAATGGGCTCCCCGCAATGCAAAGCTTCTGTTCTCCAACGGCTTCCGTCAATAGTTGGGAACGGTGTCTAACTTCTGTTCCGTTTCACGTAACGAAAATGGAATTTGTACATGCCTCAGCCATAGTAGGGGCCACAGGACAAAGCCTGACGTTCATGGCTTGGCAGAGTAGAGGTCTGACTCGATTCTGTGTAGTGTCCTTCCTCTTGTAACCCTAGCTTTTTCACCCGACGGTCTGAGGAGGCTCCGTCCCAGCACAGAAATACCAGAGTCACCATGAGAGCTTATCGTAACACAGGCACTTCATGGGCTCGGCCCAGTCACAGCCCCAACTATATGCACAGGGGCTGCAAAGTGTCTAGTCTAGGCTACCAAATGAGTCCGGAAAGAATGTGAGATATGAGCTTCTACCGCAATGAAAAACAGGGCAACAGGAGAGACATGGAAACCTTGTATTCTTCAGAAACTTAAGATGCTGGTCCTTTCGGCCCATGCTTCTTCCTAGCAGGCAGTTGGTGCTAGCATGGTTCCAGTCTTTTACAGCTTCCAAATGAGGAGGGAGGCCATGTGAGGTTTGTGAATGGAACTTCCATCACAGGTGCCGGGTTCTGCTGGGGCCTTCATTTCACCTTCGGGAGCTATGGGCCTCTGTTGATGTGGCTGGACCTCTGTCGGTGCGGCCGGAACTCTACGTACGACTGTTGAGGGTTAATGTGGTTCCTTCTGTCCACCCAGTCGAATGAACGCCTTTGGCTTAGGAAGGCATACGGCCTATCTACTGAGTGGGCCTTCAGCCTGATGCTTAAGCGAAGGGCGTGTCTTATCCCGCTCCCCCTCCCCCCCCCTTTTTTTTCCATCTTGCCCACTGTCAGGCCATTACTCTTTGGAACAAACCTAACAAAATCACGCACCTCCTGCCTTGTGCAAGCAAACTGGAAACTTTTAAGACTTCCTTTTCAGCTAGCTGTGGAGATGCAGATGTTTGATCCCAGCACTCAGAAGGCAGAGACAGATCCAGGCCAGGGATATGAAATGACACCTTGCCTATAAGTAAATAAATAAATAAATAAATGTATCTTTATAGTTCTTCAAGAAATGCCAGCTGCGAGGAAGGCATTAAGGTCACTTTAGTCCCGCCCACATTCATATCCTGGGGTGTTTTCTAGCCTTTTTATTGTTGGTCTCCCATTTTTCAAATACGACGACTATGCGGGTGGTGGTGGCGGCATACACCTTTATTCCCAGCACTTGGGAGGGAAGCAGAGGTGGCAAATCTCTGAGTTCAAGGCCAGCTTGGTCTACAGAGTGTTCCAAGAAAGCCAGCGGTACACAGAGAGACAGCTGTCTCAAAAATAAATAAATAAATGTGATGAATAGTTTTATAAAATTCTTTTCACTTCAGGGCACAAATATTTTTTCATGTTTCTGCACAGTCTTAGAAATTAGAAATGTTCCAGACTGCAGAGCCTATCAGATGATAGAAATGGGTAAGTATAATCTGCAGTCCTTTAGAATTATTGAGTATTCTGGGCTGGAGGGATAGCTCAGCTCTTAAAAGGCTAGGCTCACAACCAAAAATAAAGGAATTCTTGAACATTCACGCTGAATGGTTTTTACATTCCCCACATTTTACATTCCGTTAACATTTTGTCACCAGCCTCCTCACCTGCCCGAGTTTCACTAAGTTGGGTTAAGTCTGAAAGAGCACTGTCGTAGAGTTTGCATTGCTGTGATAAATCGCCATGACCATGAGCAACTTGGGGGAGAAAGGGTTGATTTTGCTGACGCTTCATCCTGGAGGAAGCCAGAGCAGGAACTGAAGTAGAGGCCATCGTTACACAAAACACAGGGCGCTGGTCAGTACTACATTTAAATCAGGTCACCCGCGCTCAAACCCCAATGGACCCATGTATTGTGTGATCTCTTGGGCAGGTTACTGAAACCCATGTACCTTGCCGTATTTATTATTGTTGTTTCAGTTTCCTGTTTGTCAAAGAGTCAGGGTTTTTCTGTGTAACAGTCCTGGCTGTCCTGAAACTTGCTTTGTAGACCTGGTTGGCCGTGAACTCACCGAGATATGTCTTCCTCTGCTTTAGTTTTAGACTGAAACTGCAGAGTTTAGCGTGCGTCTTGTTTGCTTTTATTGCTCTTTTAAATTTTCCACTAATTTCTACCCAGCGAAGTTATTCCCAACAAAGAGGCTAGACTTTCAAATTCAGCTGTCTCTAGGATGCTGGGTCTTCAACACAAGTCTACTTCAACAGAAGGGGAAGAATTCTTGCCTATGCTGCAGCGTCCAGGAGCAAACTGTAAGCCCTGTTTACCAAAGCCTTAAAAGGGACTCATAACAAAATGATTTAGAAACGTGGAGAAAGGGAGCCATTGAGACTGCTCAGCAGGAACACACTTGTTATACAAGCGGGATGGCTGAGTTTGAGCCTGGAACCCACGTAGATAGAAGGAGAAAACGCATGCCACAAGTGTCCTCTGACACCCAACACATGCCCTACAATAATAAAAAGATAAGCAAATAAACATATTTTAGAAGTTCAGAGGAAAGCCTCAGGGATCAGAGAAGTAGGAAAGAGGCTGAATTCATGAGAAGGGATCTAAATGATAGGTAGGACATATACCAGGGAGAAAGAAGGATGGATAGGGGACATTAAAGGCAGACAAAGAGGCAAAATATTGTCTGATATTCTGAGTGACAATTAGTGTTGGGTGACCCCCCTCAAGGAGTCCCAAAGTCAGATGACCACAGAATTAACTCATCAAAGCACTGAATATCATGCTGGGGATTTTTAATATAAAGAAGTAGAGATGCTGATCAGAACTGTAAACACAGAAGTTTAACCAAGGTACTGACAGGTTTAAGAAGAGTGTGTTTGTCAAATTAATCTGAAGTACTTTTCATTCAGGATTAAAGCCTAATTTTAACTGGAGTGGCTAAGTGCTCTGCTGTCCTGTTGTTGATTGATTGATTGATTGATTGATTGATTGATTGATTGATTGATTGATTGATTGAGACAGAGGTTCAATATGTTGCCTCAACTGGCCTGGAACTCACTATGTAGACTAGGCTAGCCTTGAACTCATAGAGATCTGACTGCCTTCTAAGAGCTGGAATGAAAAGGTTTAACAACCGAGCTTGATGCGCCCAGCTTTTGAAAACATTTTTAAGCTCTTCTCATTTTTTGTTTGGCTCCGTTTTGTTTTGTTTGAGGACAGTGTCACAGTATAGCCCTGGCTGGTCTGAAACTGGCTTTGTAGACTAGGCTGGCCTTGAACTCGCAGAGCTCTTGAGGCTTCTGCATCTCAAGTGCTGGAATTAAAGATGGCTTTCCCTGCTTCTTTTGCTGAGTACATGTAGCATGCGTCACAATTCTGCTCAATAAAATGTAAGAGAAGGGACTCCGTGAAATTTTCTAAGGGATTTTTTTTCTCTCTGGCTGTAGATCCTACCTCTTTCTCCACTTTCTGTTTGTTTACTTTCTTCCTTCTTTCTGGAATTTCTCCTGGAATAGACGGCGGCGGCAGCAGCTTGAGACCACAGGAGTATGAATGATTTGTTTCCACTTGGTGGTGCTCAATGGGTCAGTAAATGGAAGGAGGTTGGTCCACAAATGCGTTGTGGCGTGTGCTGGAGGTGGCCCTGGGAAATCAAAGGATGAGTGTTTAAGCTATTGGCACTTAGTGTGGCTTGGTATTTCCAGACAGAAGTACTACCTGCTGCAAAGTGATGGCTAGTTGAAGTCAAGGTGAGTTCATCGCCATTTAGTTAACTGAGCCCCATGCGTAAAAAGACCCCAGAGCTGGCTTGAAATGGAAGACTCCGTTCTCTGTGTTGGCTGAGTCAGAGTTAGTGGTTTCTCACAGCCCTTTGGAAGAGAGACTTCAACACTAGTGGTCAATATGGCCAAAGGTCAGAGCTCACCGAGGGCAAACACAAGGGACCTCTCTGCCACTCCACCCCTTCTCTCCTGGCCTCAGGTGCAGAAAAGACAGGAAACAGAGGTGTACATCAAATGTTTCCACGGTGTCCTATGCCCAGAGTATGTCAGAGTTCACACGGCACCTCCGAGGTCTGCAGTCATCATTCTCTGAAAATGTCAGGCAGCTCACGATGCATGCGGCCTTGGTGCCAACTCCCTTCTCCTCCAAGAATCACCT